AGTACACAAAGTGAACGACCACTTTGTGAAAAAAATTACATGATGTTAAAATTGAGCGACCATTTCATRGAAAAGTGACCATTTCGTGAAATATTTTTGAATTTCACAAAGTGTAAAAACGTGTTTCCATTTCACGACATGATCATCTTTTCATGAAAAGATCGATTTCACGAAGTGGCTACGACATATATATAATATATTATAAATATTATGATTATTATACATTTATCATTTTTTTTTTTTTTAAATCGTCAAATTTAATTTTTGATTTTATTTCGATCACATTTTGGAGTGATGACAAACAGTATTCAAAAACTTTAGGCTGGTAAAAAACTTTTCAGTGTATAAGTCAATAATATTTTTTTCAATATCATTTATTTTTTTTTTTGGTACCGTGTTGTTGATTGTCATTTGTCAGTGTTCTGCATTAAAATATAAGAATCGATTAATAATTGTGTTAAAACATCAATAAATATAAATATATAAATGTATTATTACGATCAAACTCTACTTTACCCAAGTGTGATTTGACCATTTCTTTGTAGTTAATAAGTACAATTCGACTATACCGATTTTTAGATATATCTATTGTAGATAAGTGGTACAGAAATTCATTTTKTCAAATGGCTAATTAAATATATATTTAAATTTAATACTTGAGTCTCAAAATAAAATCAGCATTAATCAATTAGTCATTAATTCATTATGTGTATATGTAGAACATATTATAATATACTTTAACTTAACTTTAGTTAAAAAACCGAGTAGGCGTTTGAAATTGTATAATGTATAATATGTAGTAGGTAAACATTTACTAATATGAATACTAAAAATGAGTGTTCAATAATATATTCACCATAAATTATAAAATACATTATTAATATATAGGTATTATCAGTGCAAACATTATTTGTTGAAATTATTTATCCAATTTGATTATTAAAATCCTTGGATCTTAGATCTTTGATTTAACCAATCRGAGTGCCATGTGGGTAAGTTTATGTTTCGTCAAACTGTAATTTGTAGATAACGATTTGTCACACACATCGCACGCGTACGGTTCTTCACCAGTGTGTGTGCGTCGATGTGATCTTATAGTGCATCTTTTACTAAATAATTTGTACAAACATCGCACGCGTACGGCTTTTCACCAGTGTGTGTGCGTCGATGTTTTGTCAAATTGCCACTTTCGCTGAATGATTTGTCACACACATCGGACACGTACGGTTTTTCACCAGTGTGTATGCGTCGATGTTTTGTTAAATTGCCACTTTCGCTGAATGATTTGTTACACACAATGCACGCGTACGGTTTTTCGCCAGTATGTGTGCGTCGATGTATTGTCAAAACGTTATTCTGACTGAATGATTTGTTACACACATCGCACGCGTACGGTTTTTCGCCAGTRTGTGTGCGTCGATGTATTGTCAAAACGTTATTCTGACTGAATGATTTGTTACACACATCGCACACGTACGGCTTTTCGCCAGTGTGTGTGCGTCGATGTTTTGTCAAATTGCCACTTTCGCTGAATGATTTGTCACACACATCGCACACGTACGGYTTTTCGCCAGTGTGTGTGCGTCGATGTATTGTCAAAACGTTATTCTGACTGAATGATTTGTTACACACATCGCACGCGTACGGTTTTTTGCCAGTGTGTGTGCGTCGATGTATTGTCAATTGTCCATCTTGGTAGAAAGATTTGTCGCTGACATTGCATGTGTAATTTTTCTTTTCCATTTTTTTGTCGTAGTGAAATCAGGCTGCTATTCTATTTTTAAATAATTTATTTAACGTTTATTTCTTTTTAGCACAACTATTTGGTAACTATATACTTTTCTGATTATGATCGATTAGATTTAATTGACAACACCAGTTTTTCAAGCCAGTATATCATTTTGTATTTTTTAAACAATTAATAGAGTATAATATAATTATGCTCTTTCTTACGCATTATCATTAATTTATATTACATTTTATAATAATAACTGATACACTCGTACTTCGATTTCCGTTAAAAATACAAAATCTATATGATTAAAAATTTGTTTTTAATTTGTCGTTCACTACCTGGTGTATCTAGTGATATTTAAAACATACCATGATAAATTCCCATGGATTTACTGTACCTTAATCTCCATTAAAGATTTTTAACATAGTCATTTAAAACACAGGACCAACCTTTTTAGCTTTGTGAAGGTGAAAAGATTTTTAAAATTTGTACCTCATAACAAATTGCTTTTTTTATATAACGGTTAGCAACCCTATAGTAAACAAAATCTTATATAAATATGTAATATACAGTATACACGGGATAGTGTAGCWTTTTGACGATAAAAGAAATGTAAATCAATTTAGTTTCTAGAGATTAACCYAAATAAACGAACGAATTTGAGATTCTTCGATTTATTATAGACTGTAATTTGAATAAAAAATTATTCTGAAATTAATAGGCGCATGACGTATTATGTGAAATATGTCAGAATTGACAAAA